CCACTGGACAAACTTAATGAGACTCAAAAAATAATGATCAATGTATCGCTACAATAAATTAACATTTGGAGTCAGGTCACATCAAGATGGTTGCCACAGCTGATGAACCATCCATCCATCCATCCACCATTTTCTTCCGTTTATCCAGGGTCGGCTCGCGGGGGTACAGTCCAAGTAGGGAGGCCCAGACTTCCCTCTCCCCAGCCACTTGGTCCAGCTCCTCCGGGGAAATCCCGAGGTGTTCCCAGGCCAGCCGAGAAACATAGTCCCTCCAGCGTGTCCTGGGTCTTCCTCTGGGCCTCCTTCCGGTGGGACGTGTCCGGAACAGCTCAGCAGGGAGGCGTCCAGGAGGCATCCTAAACAGATGCCCGAGCCACCTCAACTGGCTCCTCTTGATGTGGAGAAGCAGCGGCTCAACTCTGAGTCTCTCTCGTATGATCGAGCTTCTCACCCTATCTCTAAGGGAGAGCCCAGACACCCTGCGGAGAAAACTCATTTCGGACGCTTGTATCCGAGATCTCGTTCTTTCGGTCACAACCCAAAGCTCGTGACCATAGATGAGGGTAGGAACGTAGATCGATCGGTAAATCGAGCGCTTCGCCTTTTGACTCAGCTCTCTCTTCACCACGACAGACCGGTACAGCGCCTGCTTCACTGCCGACACTACACCTATCCGCCTATCGATCTCTCGCTCCATTTTCCCCTCATTCGTGAACAAGACACTGAGATACTTGAACTCCTCCACTTGGGGCAGGATGCTGCTGATGAACCTTAGCAAACAAACAGGGCAGTAAATCAGTACATTTTACAGAAATGGAACTAAACTGTACTCATATGTCGTATCACATGACATCACAAACACAACATAATTTTTAGGGTTTAACCAAAGCAGCTACGACTTCATGATTTTTCAACCTAAATTCCATTTACCGTATTTTCCGGCGCATAAGTCGTAGTTTTTTTGCATAGATTTGTCAGTCCTGTGACTTATACGCCAAAGCGACATATATGTTTTTTTTCCATATTCATAATGCAAGTTTTGACAGACGGTATAAATTTCTAACAACTGCAACAGCGAGTCCTCCCGTGCACGCTCGCTTCACTCAGCTGGTGCAGGTGGAGGAACGCTGGAGAGCTAGCAGCTCCCACCGCAATGGATGGATGGATGGATGGATGGATGGATGGATGGATGGATGGATGGATGGATGGATGGATGGATGGATGGATGGATGGATGGATGGATGGATGGATGG